CATAAGATAAACAAAATTGACAAACCTTTAGTTAGACTAATCAAGGAAAAAAGGAGGACTCAAATAAAATTATAAATAAAAGAGAGACATTACAATTAATACTAGGGAAATACAAAGGATAATAAGAAAATACTATGAACAACTATATGCGAACAAACCAGATAACTTAGAAGAAATGGATACATTTCTAGAGATGTAAAACCTATCAAGACTGAATCAAGAATAGAAAATACAAACAGACCAATGCAAGTAAAGAGACTAAATCAGTACTCAAAATTTTTCTAACAAAGAAAAGCCCAGGACCAGATGGCTTCACTGATGAATTCTACTAAACATACAAAGAAGAATTAATACCATTTCTTCTCAAACTTTAAAAAAAAATAGAGGGCTTGAAAACACTTCCAAACTTATTTTACAAGAATATTACCTTGATAGGAAAGCTAGATAAGAACACTAAAAAAAAAAAAATTAAAGACCAATATTCCTGATGAACCTATATACAAAACGTCTCAGCAAACTGAATTCAACAGCACATTAGAAAATCATACACTATGATCAAGTGGGATTTATTTCTGGGATGTAAGGATGGTGCAACATATGCAAATCAATAAATCTGATAAATCACATTAACAGAATGAAAAATAAAAATAAATAAATGCAGAAAATGCACTTGACAAAATTCAACATCCTTTCATGAGAAGCACTCAACAAATTAGGCATCAAAGGAATGTATTTCAACATAATAAGGTCATATATGAGAAGTCTGCAGGTAACATCATACTCAATGGTGAAAAGCTGTAATCTTTTGTTAAAAAAGAGTAAGACAAGAGTCCTCATTTTTTCACCACTTCTATTCAACATAGTACTGGAAGTCCTAGCCAGAGCAATTAGGCAAGAAAAATAAATAAAAAGGCACTCAAGTCAGAAAGGAGGAAGTAACATAATCTGTTTGCAGATGACATGATCTAATGCAGTATATATAAAACCCAAAAGACTCCACCAAAACCGGTTAGAACTAATAAGTTCAATAAAGTTGCAAGAAACAAAATCAACATACAAAAATCAGTTGTGTTTCTAAACACTAACAATGAATTATCTGAAAAAGTAAGCAACAATCCTATTTATAATAATAGCATAAAAAACAATAAAATATCTAGGAATAAATTTAACCAAGGAGTTGAAAGATCGTTATACTGGAACCTATAAGACACCGATACACTGAAGACACAAATACATGGAAAGATATACCCACGTTCATGAATTGAAAGAATATTGTTAAAAATTTCATACTACCCAGAGTGATATAGATTCAATGCAATCTCTATCAAAATACCAATGGCTTAAAAAAGAATTCATTTGGAGCCATAAAACAGTTTGAGTAGCTAAAGTAATCCTGGCAAAAAGAACAAGCTGAGGTATATTACAATATATTACAAAGCTATAACAATTAAAACAGCATTGTACTCTACAAAAACAGACACACAGATCATTGGAACAGATTAGAGCCCGGATATAAACCCATACACATATGGACAACTATTTTTGATAAGGCTACCAAGACACAATGAGGAAAGGATAGTCTCTTCAATAAATGGTGCAGAGAAAAGTAGATATCCATGTGCAAAAGAATAAAGTAGCCCCTGATGTTGTTCTGTGTGACTGAAGCAAAGATGAAACAAAGGAGAGAGTGAGAGAGCAAGTGAGGAAGTTAAAATTAGGTTGAGAACAAGTCATGGAGGGTACCAAATGACAGGCTAAGGAGTATTGGTACTCTATTCAGTACAAAAACGAAACTGAAGAGTCGTGTAGCTCGCCAAATGCTAAAATACACATTTGGTTCTAAAGTTCAAAATGAGTGCAGTCTACCACACTCCAGTATGGAAAGTATTTATATTAGAGTTCATTTTTAAAGAACAGATGTATACTTACTTTAGTTTCCAAAGACAAAAATTTAAAGAAAATAGTTTATATTAAAGTACAGATTCCCAAAGATTGAGAGTCAACTTTTAAGTAGTCTTTATTTTTGAAGCATTTTTGTCCAGTACATCTCTAATTTCAAAGTCAATTATTTATCAAATGTTGACAAAACTGGGAAAATTTTCCAAATTGGTGATGGAAACGGGTTGGTGCTATGTATATCTGATCAAAACAGCAGTAACATGATATCAAACACAAAGGGATAGCATTAAAAAAAGAAAAACCTAAAAGCTCATAATGGCAACTCTAAGCAGCAGTGGTATCAAACAAATTAAAATCTCTAATTAAAGCCACTGATGATTTCCAGGTTAATTCTGGATCTAATTTGTACTCATCCTGTTAGTACAAATCAGAAACCTCTTGGTACTCAAATAGGGTGCAGTGGACATATCACTTTTGCATTCTCAATGACCACCTTCCCTTGGCTGCTCCCTACACACTCCCTTTCTTTAATAACTTCCCTTCCTTTGAGGGAACTCCTCTTCTGATCAGTTCAGGAAAGGAATGTTATCCACTTTGGGCAAAATCAAGTTCTTCTCCAAAATATTATATAGCTTGCTATCATGCTTTGAGTTACTGATTATGAGGAAGGCTGAAACTGCCAATTGCTGTCATCCACCATCTTCATCTCACTACCTCTCATCCCAAAGAGAAAGTCTACCTGAAAGAGAAAACCAACCCAGAAAAAAACGAAAACAAAAAACCAAATCAGAGCCAAGTGAGGATGATGCCTTCTTTGGATGTTGGGACCCAGGACCCAGTCATGCCTGGAATTTCCTGCATATGAGCCAATAAATGGCCCTTCAAGCTGACATTACAAAATCTGAGTTTCTGTCACTGACAACTGGAGGATAGTTGCTTAATAATCAAAGGTGTACAATATCTACCTGAAAATAAACTTTTAGTGCAAAAGTGGTGGCTTTAGTCTGTTTTGTGTGCTATAATAGAGTATCCGAGTCTGGATAATTTATTTTTAAAAAAGGTTTAGTTGGCTCATGCTGCTACCACTCTTGGCAGAAAGTGAAAGCGGAGCGGGTATGTGCAAAGGGATTGCATGGTGAGAGAGGAAGCAGGAGGGAGACCACTAAGGACACTACTTTTCTTGAACAATCCGCTTTTGTGAGAAGGAACCCACTCCTGTGAGAGTGAGAACTCACTCAGCCCAATGGGAAAACTCTAATTTACTCATGAGGGATCTGTCCCCATGACCCCAAACACCTCCCACGAGGCCCCACCTCCCAGCACTGCCAATATGAGTTTTGGTAAGGACGAATCACATCCAGATCACAGCAGCGTACAATTAATGCAGATCAATATCTTCATGAAAAATGTAGCGATGTAAAATAAGGTACAACACATGATGTGATATGAATTGAGTAATACGAAATCAGGTACAACACAGTATATGCCAACCTATTTAAACAAAATGAATAAAGGACACTGTTGGCATCATAGTTATGTGCTTAACATTTCATTATACATCTTGAAGCCTGAATCCCACTACTTGCTGCAGGAAAACAAACTGGCTCAACTACACTTTGGAATCTTAAATATCTATTATAGTAACTCTCTTTAATTCATATTTGTAATAGGAACAGGTGCAAGTTTATTGACTATATTTTATGGCTATTAATCCCATATGTAATAATTAGCAATTATGAAAGGTCTATATTCTCTTGGAAAGTATTGCTTAAAAAATTTAAAAAGCCAGGCAGAGCTTTTCTCCTTTTAAAATGTGATTCATGAACAAAATGCAGGATGTTGAACTTAAACATGGGCCAGAGAGTTTACACATCAGATTTTGTCAAGAATCCAAAATGGAGAAGGCCTCTAAAAAGAAATTGGGTCTTAATGTTACAAACTTCTAGAGCTCTTGGTGAATTATTCCAATTTCACCCCTCCAAGCTATTGACATGGTTATTCACCAAAACACATGTTTATTGTAAATCCTGCGGGAACAAATGTGTACATTAGTCAAATGAGCTGATAGCTATATTTAGGGGAACTCTGCTAGTTAAATTCTTTCTTAAGAAATAGCCTATAATTAAGAAGTCTAATCGAATTCTAGAAAATAAAGAAGGCAAGGATACAGTCAAATCATGTAGTTTTTTTTCTTCCTTTTTCCTCCCAGGCAGGCGAAAGCACAGAATAAATCATTTGGTTTTTGTCCAGTTTTCAATTTAAATTCTAGAAGGATGAAACTCAAAACTTTTCTTGGAAATGAGACTACATCATAACAGATTTCACTGTCAGGAAATTCCTCTCCACCCTGATATTCAGATCACATGTTCTTTTTGTGTACTTTACCCTACTTTTCCCAAAAACAATTCTATGAAATGTTTGACTCAATTCATCCTACCTCATGCCTGTTTCAATAAGACACATTTCACTTTTGGATTAAAACTGAATCCCTTGAAATCCCATTTAGTTGTCTATCCAGTGATATTTTACTTATTTATTGGAAAAAAGTATTTTAAAGAGATGAGGACTCACTGTTGCCCTGACTGGAGTACAGTGGTGTGATTATAGCTCACTGCAACCTTGAACTCCTGGGCTCAAGTGATCCTCCAACCTCAGCCTCTCCAGTAACACTGTGAACAAAACAATTCTATACAGATTCTTTATCATTATCAGAAGGTTCCTGAAGTTGCCTTAGGAAATATATATATATAAAAATATATATAAATAAATATATATAAATAAATATATATATATTTCTTAAATTGCAAGGTCTTACTTTGTATGAATCACATTTCCATTAGTAGTTTTATACCTGGGGTCTTTTTGGCATTCTTGTTTTTGGATTCTCTTCCACAATTTCTATCCCAAGTTATATAAATTTGTGTTCCACAAGTTTCTCTTATGCTCATCTTCTCATTATTTTTTCATGTTTCTAATCTTTTTCCCTTTAATGTCTCTGGTTTCTTTTTGGTCTAAAACTCATTCCAAATGTAAATAAAAAATGAATTTCATTAATGTCCAATTTTATCACTGCTTCTTAACCATTAAGTACACATATGCAATACAGATGTAATAATCTTTTATTCTTTTATTGTCATATTGTAGTTTCATAACGATATAAATTCCAATAAAATTAGGAAACTTTAACTTCAATATGTGAGATCATAATGTATACAAAGCTGCCATAAGGTATAAATTAAGCCATGTATATACATGAATACATACATATACATTTCAATAACACATTGAAGATTTTCAAGGTTTTTTTTCTTTCGTTATTGCTAGACATATCAAAGCACAGTATAAAACTGGTCATCACAACACCCCTCTGTGATAATGATGAGAGTGGATTGGGAATGGGATGGAAGGCACAGAAGTCACAAGACAGCTCATTGTATGAATAAGTAGATCTAAATTCCTTAGCACTGATAGCTCAAACAATGTGGAGCCACTGACGTTCTGAATGGAATATAAGAAATGTATTAATTAATAGTATTTATTCAGTATTTACTCAGCCTCCCAGTACAAAACATCATCTTGGGAGTTTCCTAAGTATCCAAATTGTCTCATAAAGGATAAGTCACATATAAACCCCAAAGACAAGACTGGGCAACTGAAGTAGGATTAATTCTTCTGTGACTCAATGGTGCATTGCATGGCCTTTCTGTTTAGTGAGGCTCCACTCAAGAGAATGCCAACTTTGTGGTGGACACTGGCAATCCCTGGGTTTACCCATGTATCAAACCAACAACAAAGTTATCAGCCTATGGAATTAAGTATGTTACAAACCAATGCCTAATAAGCATTATGTTGATCAGGTGGAAAGGGGAGTAAAATAAATAAGGGGTCTTACATGTGAATTAATTCAAGAGACTATAAAATATTTTTTTAAAAATTTAGATTGTTTAATTACTTTTCAGACAAACAAAAAATCCCCACCACCCACTGACAATACCCTAATCATCCAACAGCCCATCAATGAATAGTCCTCTGCAACTGTCTGGAAATTTTCACCTTCTTCTTCCAGAAGGAGTACTCAATTTTCATTGCCAGGGTTCTTGGGAGATTCACTCTTCACTAGAAAAAAAAAAGTAAACATCCAGTCAAGTGTTTATGCTGTTTCTGTTTAGCTTGTTCTATTTTTCCTTCTCCTCTCCCTCCTGATGCATAGCAACAGCACTGCCCATGGGGACAAACTGTGTCATGTCCCAGGCAGCTGGGATATACAATTCTGGCCACAATAAATAGAGAAATGATGTCTGAAAGTGGCAATTATATTTTGTGAGGTAACGTCCTTCCTGACTCTGTGGAAGACTTAAGAATGGTCACTTCACAGTGTGGTTATGATCCCATACCCATGCCACTGAATAGATCACTATTATCTCAAAGACTGGCCCATTGTGGTTGGATACATTTTTTCCATGATTTTTTTTAAACTTAAAATTGAGGGTCAGTATATGTTGAGTAAACGCGGGCTGACAGAGGCCCAGCTAATCGCCATCTCCTTCCTTTCGCAGGAAAGACGATGCAGAGTAGAAATGGCCCTCCTCTGATGCTCCTGTCTTGCCCGCGAGACTAACACTAAACTAAGAGTTCCCTGAGGGCAGAAACTGAGTCTTTCTCCCCTGTATCTATCCCTGCAGTGTAGAGCATGACACTCCATCTTTTGTTTTTTGTTTCTCTCTAAATCTATAAAAAGAAAATCAGAGCAAGTGCTCTATTTATTTCACTCTGCTGTGAAGCTAAAAGGAACTCAGTTAAAAACCCTCTACAAATTGTTATGATTAAAATGTAGATTGTTTGGTTTGAGATTTAATAGCTGTTATCTCCATTGGGGAGATAAAGAAAACAGAGCTCAGAGAGGCAGAGTAACTGCTTAAGGGCCCACAGCCGCCAAAGGCTGATGCTAGAACCATACAGCTGGACCTTCGCCTCCTATTCCAACTGACAAATTCCTTGGAATTGGCTGATGTACCTAGATTTCAGATTGCCCTAGCAACCAAAATGGTATTAGCCGAGTCCTTTTTATGAGTAAGGCACTGGAATAAGTTCCATCCAAGATATGGTTCCTGCGTCCTGTGGCATTTCCTAAACTCTAGCAGGGTCCTTCAAGTGCCTCCATGACATTGTAAGTTAGCTGCTTTCTCCTCTGGCGTCCTCTTCGCTTCAGGCAAACTCTATTACAGCACTGCCAAGTCACACATGTGTTCCTGTGTCTGCTGTGCTGTAAAGTTTACGTGTGGGTTCTCGCGCCCGAGAACGTCCCCCTCATCCCTGAAAGGGAAAGCAAGAGAAGAAGGGCAAGGAGGCGTGAGGAGAGCGAGGGAGAACGGATGAAAGGACACACCAGCCCAACAGGAGACTGACCTAGGAGTAGCTGCCATGCCAGCTATTCCCACTAAACGCAGAACGCTTTCATTAACTCATTGACATCTGCTAGTCTAACTCTGGCTGACCAGCCTGGAAACCAAGTCCTAGCATGCTGAGCGCTTTCTGCTGGACTGACAAAGGTGGGCAAGCAGCACTTTGTATCTCCACTAGAGTGGGCTACCTTAACTGCTTAACCTTTTACAGTTAATCTTTTTCATTACTGGGAAAAGCAAAACCCAAAACTTGCCTATTGCTGATACACAGGCAGACTTTTTGAAAAAGTAAATTATGGCAATCTATACTCAAAACAAACATTATAATAACAACCATCAAGTGTGGAAACTACTGAATCCCGGCCCAGAAACACTGATCCAAAACTAGAAAAGAGACACCTTGTACTAGGAACTCAGAATCAAAATCCAACTTTTTTGCCTCCAGAGAGAAGGAATTTCAAGGCTTTCCAAAGAAAATGCCCAGTTCTTATATAATCTCCCTCCCTCTTCAAGGAGCCACCCTGTAGAATATCCAATATCGTGAAAATGTACAAAGAAACAGACATCTTAAAGTGCTTACAGAAAGAAATGCACATACAGGAGGACCTGGCATGATTTTTAAGGTGTGTGTACTTATGATGTGACAGCACTGGTATGGTCCTTAAGATCCTGTCAGATCCTCTAGTTCTTTGCTAAGGCAGCTCTAAATAATCTTCTGTACTAAACGCACTAGTCACCTGTGTTCCTCTAAATAAGTCAAACCTCATATACCTGCCAGAAAAAAATGGCAATTTTTATAATAAGTTTGCAAGTACACTCCCTAAGTAGTCTTTTCTTATTATTTCATTACAGGAAGCTTTGCTTGAATGTGCATTTCTAGACAAGGTGAAAGGAGAGTTGTGTGTGCTATTTATTTACACAGATGATGTTTGCCCTAGCTAGAAACCCACATTACTAAACAACTTTCCCTGAGATCAACATTTAGAGATCACTGTGTGAATTTATTAAAGAAAAGGCAAAGTATTGCAAAGCTTAAACAAAGTGAAACTGGATATTTAAGCTAAAATTCCTAACTGATTTTGAGAAAATAAAACAGGATATTCTCAAATTGTGAAAAGTATAAAGAATAAGATTTAGAGGCCCATAATTTATTATGAGAAATATCTGCTTGCTAATTAAAACCTACTTTCAAGACGTAGCACTGACAAAGATACATATATGTACAGAGAACGCCTTACAACATAGGTTACCGTATGTCACAGGCTATAATGCTGGTAAAACAATGCACCTGAGCCACACATTTCATATACTTCTTAGAAAAATAGAATTCAATCCAAGACAAAGATTTTACACTCCTTTAGAGTTTGTTACTATGAAATTTGGCTGTACCTATAATTCTTGGCAAAAGGTGGTATCTGATGGCTTTGAGTTAAGGTGGGTAACCTCTCTCATCCTTTTGAAGCAATTACTAAATCTTATTCATCCTCTCAAGTCTTGCATTCAGAAACACAATCAGCTTATTTAATCAGTAGTTACAAATATGGATAAGGCATTTTATATACTAAACTTTTATATACAGCTTTCCCAGTTTTAACACTTCCCCATTTGACCAAGGAAACAAAATCAGAGAAAATAAAACGAGCGAGTTTAAGAAAAGAGATAGAAGGTTAAGCCAATAGCACCAGCTTACTCTAAATGCTGCCAAAATTTAAAAAATAACATTCCTTGCAACATTATCTCTTTCTATAAGTAGGATACTAAAAATGTTTTGTAATCCCTGATTTTAGAAATTTTTAAAGTCTTAACGAGGGAGTAAATTTATCTGATCATGGACAGACGGTTACTTAAAGACTATTAGCTAAAAAGACAAAAATATACAGAACCCATGGCAAAAAAATGTCCTTTGATAGTCATTCAATTTTATTCATTTAAAGTCGGTATTATAAACTTATATGCTCTCAAACACAAGAGAAGCAGCAGCTCATTCATTTGGTTCTTTATCTGCAGCTACAAAGCAGATTCTGTAAATGTGTAAATATAATGAGAAAACACATATATAAAGAAATACGGGTAGTCGTATTTGGCTTCAGTTTCTCTAGAGTTATTCTAAGTGTTGCAGGAACAAATTTACACTTACCTTGGTGAAGAACTTTCATGTCATTACTGGATCCTTTCAATACCACATGTAATGTTGGGTACTCAACGATAACTCTGTTCCTCAGATTGTCTAGGAGACTTTTAAAAGGATCTAGTTCATAATATCTTAATAAAAAGGCAAAGCCAACAAAAAACAAAAAGCACCTTTAATATTCGAAATTACTCATAAATATATCAGAGTTCTTTACAATAAAAAATTGTTAAGGTGATGGCATTCATTCAGTGGCTATTTCCTTATCACACAAGTTTAAGACTATCTAAGAAAACCAGGTAAATGAGCTATTATCATAGAGTTTTTAAAACTAAATCAAAAGCATATCAAACATTTTGGCATTAGGAACACTCTACAAATGTCCTTATCAAACAAGAAATAAAGACTCAGAATATCTACACTTCATGTGTCATTTTTCTTGGATAAGAGAATGACTAGCTAAAAATTCAAATTCAGTTCCTCACTAGAGGTGACATATGGGAATATGTTGGCATGTGAACATCAATCTCATGTCAAAGAAGAAAAACTTAAGAACATGTCTCCCAAGGTAGTGCAGAAGTTCTCCAGCTTTCTTCTCCATCCCCAACAAGGACAGGTGATATTCACATCTAAACACACATGACTGGCACACCCAGTCTGACAGTTATCACTCCACCCTTTTCCCTCCTGCTGAAAAAGCACACTGGAATACAAGTGATCAAGAGTGAGATCATCATTGGGATGCCTTTGAATTCGGTGCAAGTTTAAGAGTAAATCATTCACAAACTTTAGGATTTCTTAAGTAGTATCAAATTATCTGCTCATTACCATAACGCACAGCTGACTGAGACACGTGGCACACTCATGAGGAATTTTGGTATGGTGGTTTCTCTGTGTTGTATGTCTGTCCCATGCAATAGCTTACAAATTGGGGAGATTCAAAAAGTGCTTAAAAACCGCAAAGCCACGCCACTCACTATAAAAACTAACTTCTTTCTAAGAAGTAGGTGACAAAGTGAGAAGACAATTATAAAATCAAAACTTTACTTATGCATCCTTGACCACACACCCCACCCCGTAATTAAATTATTCATTTTAGAATAGCAGAATATTCTCTATGTTGAAAAGAAATTTGAAATGCAAAATACTCGGCTTTTCTAAGCCAGCCTCCCATAGACCATAGAATTCATACATTCTTTTCCCTGTGTGTAATGTAATACAGATGTGCTTACAATACTTTAAAACTGGTTCCAGCATTCAAGGATTAAATGCTTCACATCTTTTAAACATTATTTCCCTTTGAAATAAGCAGTGTTTTTTAAATAAAAGCTAGCAGTAATTATACAAAAGAGAAAAATAAGATTGTATTCAATACTCAAGTAGAAAATTAACTTACAAAGTACAGTATAAAATGGTGTAACTAAATTTTTCTTGGGAGAAAATAAGACCTGGATTCTTAAACAAGAGAATTCTACAAATATTTGAAATAACTTATCTGTTGTGCATTTTAACTAAATCATAAGGCAATTTTCAAATAAGGGAATGTTTCTTATTTATTTATTTTGATAAATAATTTTCAATGCATATGTAATGTTTTAGGGATTCTACTTTTGTAATATTAAATCTTCATTGATTTTCTCTATATTTCCCAAGCTGAAACAATAAGAAACGAGTTCTTCAAAAGCCACACAGGGATCAGAGCCTAATATAACTGATGATATAAAATAAAATGTTGCTAGCAGAGTTCAGAGTTAAAAATTACCTGTAAGTTACATATACCTTCAATCCTAAAACCTGGTCCCTAGTTTATGTGCCAAGCAGACACTGTGGAAAGCACTAGGGATGCAAAGATTTATAAAAGATTCGCCAACTAATACATTATTTTAAAAACATCTTATTCAAATGCAATGGAAATCTGGTATGTTATAAATTTCTAATCATAGGAATATTGCTATTGAGTGCCAGCAAGTTTCTGGCTACAGCCTAGTTCTAGTCTGTTAACTGAAGAGATGAGAGTTCACCAAATAATCTTTTTGCTGAAATTTTTACTTTCTTAGATTTTTTTTATTACTAGTGGCTACTCTTAATCTACCATAAACATTTGCCAGTAACTTAAAAGTAAATTAAAGAAAAGGCTATCAAGCCCATATGGGGTTAACATTTTATAGACTAGGAATTTAGTTAAATGAAGCAGCAACTTTCAGTTGTTGTTCAGTAGTTGTTTGGGTTTGAAGACTAACATTGAGTTAAAATCCTGGCTCCAACATTCTCTGGTCTGTGATCCTGGACAAGTTACTTAACTTAATCCCCACCCAGTTTCCATGCTTGAAAATCAAGATAATGACAGTACCGACTCAGAGAGTTATTGTGAGGGCTGAATAATAAAACATAAAAACTGCTAGGCTCACTTATTTAAGCCATGGGCACATCAGTTTTATTTACCTAAAATAACAACACATTCCTATAGAAACTTTAGTTCACGGCAAAGCCACTGGATTTCTTACTGACAGAATGGGTAGGAGCAGTGGCTCACACCTGTAATCCCAGCATTTTGGGAGACTGAGGCAGGAGGGCTGCTTAAGCCAAGGAGTTCAAGATCAGCCTAGGCCATGTAGCAAAACCTTGTCTCTGCAAAAAATAAAAAAAAATTAGCTGGGCCTGGTGGTGCACACCTGTAGTCCCAGTTACTTGGGAGGCTGAGGTGGAAGGATCATCTGAGCCCAGGAAACGGAGGCTGCTTTGAGCTGTGGTCATGCCACTATACTCCAACCTGGTTGACAGAGTAAGATCCTGACTCAAAACAAAACATCAAAAAAGAATGGCATCTATATAACCACTGAGGCATATATTTGCCTTTATGTGCATTTTTCATTAAATGTAGCCTTAAACTTTCAGTACGACCTTCAACCATTATTTTATTATCACATTTATTTCCAAGAGGATAGAAGTGCTTTGAATGTTTTTGTTTCCATTATCTTGAGACAAGCTTTAAGAGTCCAGCTTTGCACTGCTGAAACATTTAGGCTTTATTTAGCTTCTTTGCAAAACATTAAGTCATTGAATCCTAAGGGACAACTTTATCTTTTTGAAATTTTCACTGACTCTGGTATTTCCATTAATAAAACGGCTCTACTACCAGAAGATAAACTACTTAGGTTTGGGAGAATTAAGACACCAACATTTGTCTTTTCTCATACCCCTGGGACCCTTCTCAGACAATTCCTCTTGTTATTTCACTTGCTCACTCTCACAGCCTCACTAGCTGACCCTGCTCTGGGCAGCTTCACAGGGGCGTTATGAGGGCAGTATGGCTCAGTAGGCCAAACAGGTGTTACAATGACATTACATAAACAAAAGTTGTCTTGAAACTCCAGACTGTGCTTTTAATCTTGGCTCTACTGCTAAATTTCAAAGAAACTGGCCAAGTTCTTAAACTTTTTCTCTGTACTTTATTAACAATGAGGATGCTGCTTTTTTCTCTCCTGTAATTAAAAAGAGACAGATTAAAAAGAAGAAGAAGGCATCGGGTGTGGTGGCTCACGCCTGCAATCCTAGCATTTTGGGGGGCTGAGGTGAAAGAATCACTTGAGTACAGGAGTTCAAGACCAGCCTGGGACCCACAGTGAGACACTATCTCTACCAAAATAAGTAAGCAAGTTGGGTGGGGCCACTGCACTCCAGCCTGGGCAACAGTGAGACTCAAAAATAAAAAATAAAAACAAAGTCAAAAAACCACTTTACTACCCATCTGATCACTGACACTCCTTGGCTCATCACTCCCTCCACCTTCATTTTTTTAATAAAAAATATTAAAACTAAGTCTGAGCCTCTCTAAATGTAACAATCTAATAGCAGACCCTAGGCTACAATGATTTCCCACTAAAATAAGGTCACTGAATGAGGTGATCACAACGGACCCTTCAGCTCTAAATTTCTACAGTTTTTGATTCTCAACTGCCACATAGTATTTGTTTCTCAAATTAGGTTTCTGGGTTAAAAGTGTAACTAGATTAAGAGTTTTAGGCCCTGTTTTGTTTTATTATTTTTAAAAAGGTATTATTTAAAATTTCTCCAAATTCCTTATGTAACAATTCTGCAATGCATAATGTCCAAGTCACATAGAAAAAGATCTTCCTACAGTTATTTCTAACCCAATCTCTTTTTAGTGTTCATATTTAAAAAAAAAAATCCGTAATTGAATTAGTGGTTTGCTACACTTTGTTTTGGGATTTTTATGTATTAGTGTGGAAGGGGACTACACATGCTTGACATGGAATACAATTCAGAAAGCTCAACAGTTCAGAACTGTAGTGATAAATTATTCTAGTATAACACAATATGAAAGCTATGGATGCAGTGAAATAAAATGGCCAATTATAGATTTTAAGACCTGTTTTAAAGAAGGGCTTACAAGGTTCTAACTTGTCCTAGATGCTATTTCCTTGGAGTATTTTCTGATTCTCACTGGTAAATTATTTTTAAATCCACAAGGCTTGGGTTCCAGTCCTATCATTGGTCTTTATGAGCTATAACTCCTCAAAGAGATTTAGTTTTCCTCATTAGTAGAATGGCAGTAAAGACAGCTGCATGGGCTACATATAATAGGTGTAACTGTTCCTAAACTATAACTTGCTAATAGGCTAGTATTAGTAATAAGATTTTATACTCCAAAAGTAAGTTGGCAACCCTAGCAGAGAAATGACAGAATTAGCAGGAATTATCTTTATAATCTATGACAAAACTAGTTAGTAGAAGAAGCCTGAACTGAACTTGACTGACAAACAGACCAGAGTCCAAATTCTGGCCTTATAAACTGTAACTTGGCTTCTTTGGGTAAGTCAATTGCTTAGAGCCTAAGATTACTACCATGTACAATAGAGACAAAGTATGTACTTTATTAAAATTAAGGCATGTAAAATTGTTGTAAACATAGTGCCTGACACTTATGCATCAATTGATTTCTCAAGTATTTACCCCTAGTGTCTACCACGTACAGATATTCTGCTACATAACAGAATTTCATAGAAATAAACCCCACACTTTATTGGGGGTGCCACACAAACAACAACCACATTTCATTGGTACAAGTGTCATGATAGAAATCTAAAGCTAAGTAGACAACAAATGTTCTCCG